GCTGGATGAAGGGGAGGGAGCTGCAAGAGTGGAGAACCTTGGAGATCATGTGTAGGAAAACTTGAATTTTTCCCAAGGCAGTGAGAAACCAGGAACGTTTTTCAGGCTGGAGTTTACCCTTTATAGGTTAAACAGATCTCATCATCCCCTTTCTACAGAGGCAGAAGCCTGAGGCCTGGGGGAAAGAGCTGAGATCATTGAGCCAGTTGGGTCCTTGCCCTCTAGGTCGAGGCCTGTTCCCAGTAATCCAGGCTGCCTCTTGACCACTTCCATCCTCATAGTCATAGAGACCTGGTTTGGAGGCAAAAGCAGGCTTGAAGTGACTTGAGGTGACAGTGCAATGTTGGGAACAGAGAGGAAAGGCCAAATTTGAGAGATTTGTAAAGACGAGATTTCAGTTTTAAACAACAAGTTGCTCCTTGGAGTAATCACGTATTTGTGTTTATCATGGAATTTTCAGGTTCCATTGGTGAAAAATGACTGACAGGTCTTTGCTTTGGGGACAAGTTTTTCAGGAAGTACAGGACCCCCAGCAATCTGACATCTTGGGAACCTTCACTGCCTCCTCACTGACCTCTCTTACGAGTGTGAGGGCCCCTTTTAGGTGTTCACTTGAGGAATGAAGCATTGGGTCCTGTGTAGGTTTCTCTTTGGGGTGTTGGAAAAGCTCCTGATACAAGCAGAGTAATTTCAGTTCAACTAGATAGAGTAACCACATTCGGATATTTTTAAATGGCCAGTGGAATTGGGGAAAAGTCTACGAAAGTACAAATTTTCAGTTTAATTTTAACTTTGCACTTCGCTCACATCCAGGACTTGGCAGGGGAAGTGGGCCTTGATTTTTTTTTTTCTTTTTAAAGCAGAACACACCCTGGATGGAAAAGGGATGTTCTCTTCGCATGGAAGGGTTAGAGCCGAGTACAGAGGAAGTGGGTTGGTATTGTAGCAGGAGTTCAGGGGTGGGTCTAGTGTTTGAAACTGGAGCACTAGGAAAGTGTGGCCCTCGTGGAGGCAGGCAGGGAAGGGGATGGGTTCACAGGCAGCTGTTGGGCTGGCGTTTTTGTTTTGTCCTGTTTGATGCATTTCAGATAGTTCACAGCTCACCTGCTGCTCCCATTGGGACCCCTTTTCACCTCACAACGAAGCAGTGGGTCTTTCCCCCATGTGGTTTGGGCTTTTTGGTGGTATCAGCAACCTCAGGTCTAAGCCCTGTCCCCTCCCTCCCCTCTGTGATCCCACCCTGCACAGTGCTGAAACCAATCAGGGAGGAAATGCAGAAACAGTGGGGATTCTGAAGATCTCACCTTTAAAAAGATGGGGATTTCCCAAGAGAGTGGAAGCAACCTCTTGCTGTTTGGGGAAGAGCAGGGTCCCAGGTCCCTCTCTGTATCCTTGCCCACTCCTGCAGCATCATCTGAGCCAGGGCAGGGTTGGGCTCTGTGCTTTGGTTGCTAAGGATGTGTAACCAGAGCAGAGACCTCTGGGGGTGGTGCCCACCTGGTTGGTAGAACAGTTACAAGAGGAGCTGAAAAGGAACAGTTACAGCCGTAGGGGCGGAAAGGTGTATTCCCTTTCCTCACCCATCATAAGAGTCACGGCCAACACTTAACAAAAGAAAGGCTAACAAAAGAAAAGCATAACAAATTTATTTAATTAAAGTTGTGACATGAGAACCTTCAGAGAAGACGACCCAAAGACCCAGGGAAACTGCCTGTTTTTATACTTAGGTTTGATGAAGAAAAGACAGCCATGAAGAAATGTGACTGGACAAAGGGGTGTAGGCCGAGAGGGAACCCAGAAAGGCCTGTCTTTCAGATTCTTTGTGGCCTCCAGTGTAGCATTCCTTCCTCCTGGATATGGGGCAGGACCTCTCTGGAATGAGGGTCTTCAAGGGAGAAGGGAGAGGAGACAGTAGCCTTTCTCAGTTTTGCTTTGGGAGACAGGAATTCTAGTTTCTGTGGCCTGCCTTGGGGAAGAGAAGTTCTGGATTCTATGACTTCTGGGGAGAGAGGGTGAGAGAAATTCACAGAGCTTGCTTCTGAGGCCTTCCAGTCTTCTTCAGTTCAAAGTACCCAGCACGCCAAAGCCCTTACATTGGAGTATTGTATTCTGAGCCCCAACACAGTCAAGAACTTGTAGAATTGACTTGGGGGTCTGGAGAGAGCTTGCGCCTAAGCTTCCTGTCCCAAGAAGCCACCAGGGGCTCCTCCGCATCTTGTGGCTAACACCAGCCACCTGAGTGCAGTAGACACCCACCCTCCTGTGACCTTCTTTTGGGATTTTAGGATAAGCAGTTTGGATGTGCCTTTAAAACAGAGAGAACACACCCCAAGGAATGGTTATGGAGATTAAACGAGACTGTGTATGAAGCACCTAGAGTGTGCCTAGCGAGTGTTCGAGAAAAGTACGATGATTATTTTTAATAAAAGCATTAATAGTGGTTGCTTGCATATTGTCCTCGAGAGGAGCAGCCACCAGTTTTGGTGTGGTGGTGGGAGCCGGGGACTGGCCTCATCAGGACTCCGAAACCTATGTCTATCTGTAGCATTCCTGGGCAGGGGTGACAGGCAGCACTGTTCCTCTCCAGGAAGGAGGCCAACTTCCTAGATGAATTCCCTGGGCTCCCCAGCACCGCACTCTGAGGCCCTCCTCTCCTTGGCAAACAGCAGTAAGAGGAGAAGCCATTGACCTGTCTAGAAAAACCGCGTGTCTGCAGTCTTTGAGGGTAGACTGGAATCTCTTCTCATATTTGCCTTGCTTTGGTGGAGCTTCAAGAATTCCCAGGCCTTCCAAGAAAACCAATTACTAAAGAAGACTGTGGGCCATGTGACTCCAGTGTTTACTGCAAACGAAGGAGATGTCTCCCCTCCCCCAATACAGTTACTCTCCCTCCATCTGCACTGGTCCCCTAAGGCCTGGCTTCCTGGCTCTATACTGCTTTCCTGTCCTAGGGCAGAAGGCCTTAGAGGATTTATTCCCAGGCACTCTTGCCATGACCTTGAGAAGGTGGCTTGACCTGGACATCTGGATCTCAGGGACTGAGGGGGTGGGAAAGGACTGAACCTCCCCCTCCCAGACCCAAACAGGAAGGTGGGCCTTGGTGACCATTTCCTAGGCTGAGAACGCCTTAGCTCCAGAAGAGGGCTGCGCTCCCTGGCTCTCCCGCTCTGTGGGCTGTGCTAGATGAAAGCCACAAATTGCTGCTGTCCCTGGCGGAGCGGCATGCCTCCACCCACCAGTGAAGAATGAAGGCAGGGCAGCTGCAGGGCCCTGCAGGACTCTGAGATCCAGATGTACCCCAGTGCTCCCCTGCTCTGCCCACTGGCAAGAGGGGGCTGAGGAGGGGCATAGCAGGCCTCACGTGGACTCTGTTTCCATCTCCTTTCCACCCATATCTCTGTTTGGCCCAGAGATGCCTGAGTAACAGGGGTACCTGGTCACTCTGGGCCCAGAAGGAAGAAGGTAGGCATGTTGGCCTGCTCAAAGGAGGAGGAGCGGCCCTGGACAGGGACAGGTTAGAAAGCCTGGCTGCTTATCCAAGAGAAGAGAAGGCCCTGAGGGGCAGGAGCAACCCTTTGAACAATGCCGTACTGCTGTTGAGAAGGACAGGCTTGTACCATGTGACCCATTGGTGAGAAATCAGGGCCTGTGGATGGAAGTTCCAGGGAGGGAGGCAACAAATCCAGTTGACATTGGTAAGTGTTTCCTGGCACCTACTGGGAGCTTGGGCTGCTGCGTCTTGGGCTGAAGGGACTCTTTCAGATACCAGGTGCAGGCAGGGATCACCTTTAAGGTGTCTTCCAGTCCAGAGAGGCCAGGTTTCCCAGAAGCTGGCTGCTCTGGGGCAGGATGGAGAACTCTGGGCCAGCTACCACACGCCGGGTCTCCCTGGCTTACTCCAAGGGTCATTTCGTGCCTGCGACCTGGTTACTCTTCTCGGCCTGTCTTCTTACCTTCATTAGAACCTGCAGTTTCACCTTCAGCTAAGTCTACCTCTTAACAGCCCCGTGAGAGGGTGGCCTTTTATTCGTTCTTTCTATCTCATTAGAAATAAAGGATTTAGGACCCAAATTGTGGGTAAGGGAGCTGAGTGGGGAAAAAGACAGCCACAGAAGTGCCTCCAAAGACAGACTTTGAGACAGACCTCAGCATTTCATTATGGGCCCATCCTAGGTTTGTGGGTTTCCAATCTCCTTTCACGTCTATGCTGGACCATGAAGAGCAAAGTCTAGAGCTGTGCTATCCAATATAATAGTTACTTGTGTCTGTTTATACTTAAATTAATTGAAATTAAATAGAATTAAAAGCTCCATTCCTTAGTCTCACTGGCTGCACTGCAAGTGCTCCGTGGCCACACGTGGCTAGTGGCCCCTGTCTTGGACAGTACACACTGTTGCCATCCTTGAAGGAAGTTCTATTGGACAGTGCTGGGCTAGAGGTGGGAGAGTTGGAGGAGCCCCTGGTCTGCTGCCCCTGCCTCAGGACAGGCCACATGGGTACTGCTGTGTGAATGCCAGCTACAGGGGCAGGCTCTGCTGTGATGGCAGGAGTGGGTGAAAGCAAATGGGCATGTGGGGGCATTGGGGTGGCGGGCCAAGCCCAGAAGTCCCTAACAACGCTGTGGCTGATGTGTGTGCGTTTTGGGATAATGGGAGAACAGGGTTGGAATGAGACCATCAACCTTGCAAAGGCAGCAGGGCTTACTGGGTTTGTCTTCTGCAGTCCAACCAAGGCCCCTGTCTGGAGTGGCCCCCTGGTTCTGCAGCTCAGCTCACCACAGACTTCTTCTCACCCCAATGTTGAAAAGGCAGAAAAGTCAGGGTGGGCAACTCCATCCTGTGGTCGTTGGCAGCACAGTGATCCGGAAAGCTAGAAGAAGTGACGGAATGACGGACCGCTTCCTGCCACTGTCTCCCTGTCCCCTAAGGAGTCCTCTAACACCCTTCCCCTGCTTCAGCCCCATTCCTCACCCCCACTCACACAGCTGGGCCTTCTTTCAGGTGAAAGAACTTGTCCTGGACAACAGTCGGTCGAATGAAGGCAAACTCGAAGGCCTCACAGATGAGTTTGAAGAACTGGAATTCTTAAGTACAATCAACGTAGGCCTCACCTCAATCGCAAACTTACCAAAGTTAAACAAACTTAAGAAGGTAAATAGAGTGTTTGGAGTCTGTGTGTGCTGGGAGGCGGGGGTGGGGAGGGGAAGGGTTATTACCTGTGTTTAGGAAGCGTAATTGAAGGGAAAGCCAGGTGCTTGCACTAACATGCCAGACAATTCCCTGAGACTGCTTTCCCTTCTTGCCCGTCTGGGGAAAGCCAGGCAGCTCTGAGCCAGGAGCCTTCATTTTAAAAGCCTTTTCTGATTTTTCTCTCCCTGCCTTGTTTAGCTTGAACTAAGCGATAACAGAGTCTCAGGGGGCCTGGAAGTATTGGCAGAAAAGTGTCCGAACCTCACGCATCTAAATTTAAGTGGCAACAAAATTAAAGACCTCAGCACAATAGAGCCACTGGTAAGTCATTCGGACCCTCCCCTCCCTGCAGGGGTAGGAGGTGGGAGGAATTGGCATCAGCGAATACTACTTTTGCATTTATCCTTTTCCCACTTAATTTCTTTGACTCTCATGATGTGCTATGAGATAGAATTGAGCTGTTGTTTCTGCTGAGTCCATAGAGAAACTGAGGCCCAGAGAAGTTAAATACCTTGACCAAGGTCACACAGACAGAATGGGCAGCTTTTGTATGGGTAGGGTAGAACCCTAGTCTCAATTTCTGCTCCTGCTTTTCCACTCATAGTTTCTGCTCAGCTTTGGAAACCTGAGCTGTAATGTCTTCAGGTTCTGGGCGTGGCTTGTTGCCCCTTTTTGGGAAGGGAGGAGCAATCCAAGAATTAAACTGTCCCTGGAGGTGGACTCCAGTTTTCTCCTTGGGTCGCTGGCCCCTGAACTGTGGGAGATGAGTCAGTCCTGACATAGAACCCTGGAATGACTGAGAGCCGTGTGGTGTGAGAGCCTCATGCAGGCAGGCCTTCCTCAATGTGGTGTGGAGAAGACTGACCCCTGGTCACCAGTCCTTGGTGCAATAGTGAACAGGCTCTCAGGGGCCTGGGCAGCGTTTCTGGCTCCTCTGCTCATCCTTGTAGAGATGGACATCCCCTAAGCTTCACCGATTTACCAGCCAGAAAGGGGCAGGTCATGTTCAGAACAATGCTTTCTTTATTACCAGGATCTGATTTGCTGTATTCCTTTGATTTTTAAGGAAATCAACTGTAAGATGTGTCACTGAAAACAACTCTTTTGGAATAGGAAATACTACCACATGAAGTAAATACACCTGTTGTGAATATACATACAGGAGTCACCTCATAAGGCCAGGCGTGGTAGCTCACACCTTTAATCCCAGCACTTTGGGAGGGCGAGGCAGGTGGATCACCTGAGGTTAGGAGTTTGAGACCAGCCTTTCCAACATGGTGACACCCCATCTCTACTAAAAATACAAAAATTAGCCGGGCGTGGTGGCAGGTGCCTGTAGTCCCAGCCACTCCGGAGGCTGAGGGAGGAGAATTGCTTGAACCTGGGAGGTGGAGGTTGCTGTGAGCTGAGATCGCATCATTGCACTCCAGCCTGGGTGACAGAGCGAGACTCCGTCTCCAAAAAAAAAAAATGGGGGGCAGTAGCAGCACCTCAGGCATCTTAGAATTGGGGGAAAGACCAGGAGGACAATTGGCCACGTTTGCCAAATTTCCGTTCTGGGTTTATAGGGGAGGTGGGGTATCCCTCAGATTGAGTTGGAGTTTTCAGGGTTTCTGTCCCAAAAGGCACTCCTTGCTCTCCATGGATGCTCATGGGACTTGCTGGTGGCCAATGTGGCAGAACAGGACACTGACATTTCTTTTCCAAGCTCTTTTCCTGTCCATCAATGGCATTGGGGCCAATTAGTAGAATGTACTTCCCACAGAACTTCTTTTCAGGCCTTCCACTGGTCTTCCAGGAGAAAGCCAAACTATTTTGATCTGTCTGGAAGTCTTGATTTTATGTTATTACAAAAGGAAAACGTCTTTGAAGTTCTGTGTATGGGCGAGGTATGGGGATTGAGTATATAAAATCCTTGTAAAACATTGTGATTCGGTCACCATTAGGGATCAGGCACTCAGGCACGCCCATGTTCACACTTTCCACTGCCCCCTGCCCAGATCACCCGTGTCTCAGTGCTTTCCCTGCCCCTGCTTGTCAGTGTGTGTTACCTTACCTCCCTGGGGCAGGAAGCTGCTTTTGGTAGGGGGTGCTGGGCTTGCCTACACAGTCCACTGTCAAGACTTCCTCCCTGCCCTTGGCTTCTGCTGAGAATGACCCAGGTCTCAACTGCAAGGTCGTAGAGAGAGAGCAACCTAGCTCCTGACATTGACTCCAAGGAGCAGTGGTTTTACTCCCTTGTTAGACCTGGCCCCCTTTGGAATGGGGACTCAGCCTGGGATGGGATTTTTTTGTACCTGGTGCCTCGAAGGTGGGTGAGGTGGGAAGTCAAAATGCAAATCAGTTACTTTCAAGCAGTATGACCCTTCACTTCCTGGGCCTCAGTTTCCTCTACCATCAAATAGGGATAACATTGGCTAGAACCCGTCTGGTGTGAAGCTTTGACAGCGCACATGATGTCAGATACTACAGACAGAATTGGAATCCTCCATCGCTTTTTCTCTTATCCTTGAGAGGTAGTATTTCAAAGAGTAAGAGCACAGATCTGAAGTTGGCTGCCTGATGAATTACCAAATCCTGTATCGTCCATTTCCACATAGGTGAAATGAACTAATATTATTTCTACCATTAGCAGGGTTGTGAGATAAATGACTCAGTACATGGAAGTGCTATCGTTAACTGCCCTCCATCATCATCATTGATCAGATACAGAAGGAGTTAGGTGTTAGTCAAGTTGCTTTTGGTTTTCCCTCTTGTTCCTTAGTCCTCAGGGAAAGGCAGCAAACCTCTTGTCTCATGCACCAAGAAAGCCCCAGGCTCAATTTCAACGTCAATCACTGTTAACGAGAAGCTATAATTGCAAAATAAGAAGTGTTAACATTGGATAAGGCTTCAAAAGATCCTCCAGTCCAACCCCCTGTATTTTCCAGGATGGAGACACCTGAGCCCACAAATGCAGGGTGATAATGTCTGGCAAACCAGCTGTGGCTAAGCGAGCCAATCCAACGCGCCTTATCACCTGGAAGTCGTGGTCTGTCCACTGTATCTCATGCATCCCTTGCCTTTTTGCTAGGCTGGTTCCCCCGGAACTTCCTCCCACAAACACTTACTGGTGGTTCATTTTTCCACTTGCAGAAAAAGTTAGAAACCTCAATAGCTTAGACCTTTTTCAATTGCGAGTTAACCCAACCTGAACGTACTAACCAAAAAGAGAAATGTGTTCAAGTCCTAACCCACAGTTCCAAAAAATATACTAAGGACGAGAGCACCTGAAGAAACACAGGGGCACACATTACCAAGGAGGCGAGGCTCGGGGGGGAGCAAAAAAGAAAGAAAGCGAAAAAAGAAGTGGATAAGAAAGAGAGGAAAACAACTCAGGGGAGCCCACATGGACCATTATAGGGGGCTCACCTATTGACTTGCAAGGGTGGCTGGGAAGACATAGGCAGCTGACTGCGCCTTGCACAACTCACACAAAGGAAATTGATTTATTTCCCATAGCCACTAACCTGCTCATTTGGTTGTCTTCCCTAAAAGAACAAAGTATGATCCCCATGCTATGGAAATATCCTGAGACTTCTCCAACTGCGTAAATAAGCTCCCTTTAAAATCATCCGCTAATCCCCACTTCCAAATTTTGTCCCTTTTCCAAAGCCCTTCAGGAGTGTATTCGCTACTGTCATCCTATAAGTGACCCCCATTTAGGACCTCTCTCAGGGACGGGAGGAGGGGATAGAGAGAAGAAGCAGGGTGTAGACCCCCTTTTCTGTCTAAGGTATTCAGTAGTGGAGAGGAGTCCAGAGCTAAGGGGTTCTGTGGGGCCCCCCGTGGTGGTTGCAGCCACCACAGCCCCCCACACTTTGATTGGCAACGGCTCAGTGCTCAGGAGCCACAAGTTGCTGGGAAGTTGAGGCTGCCAGGCCGCCTGTAGGTTTCCCTGGCAGTGTGGGTGCAGCGCGCGGCCTACAGGAAGAAGAGGGACAAAGAATGGGTCGTTCATCTGTTACATCCCCATTCTCCCTTGCCACCCAGCACAGGTGCAGCTTTCCCATGGGTCTTCGTGCCAGATAAGTGAAATGGAGACACTTGCTGATTGATTCAGATAACGGGATTCTTGGTTTTCCTTGTTCAATTGGGAGTGTTTGCAAATACTCAGAGACCCGTGTTTGCCTTGGTGGGATCTGTGATATGGCAGAAAAGAGCCAAAACTGGCATCCCAGGACCCATGTTCCCTTAGCCCCGCCAACCCAGTGACCAATGTGTGACCTTGAACAAGCATTCTCTCTGCGCCTCAAGATCTCTCACACTTTAATGTAGATTTGGATTGACCTGCGCCTTCCCCGGGCCCCTGGAACTTATGTTCTCTCTGACAATTTCCTGGTCGCTCAGCTGTGAAGACCTCCCAGAAGGGTCTTTCACATTCATGTGGGGGGCTTATCTTTGGCACCAACTTCAGGATGTGTTTAATTATGTCGGCATTGTTTTCATGAGAGTACGTTGTTCAATCTTTGGCTTAGTGGGCGGCAGGGTCCATGCAGCCCCACACTGAAGCCCTACCGGGCCTGTGCCTGTGTGGGGCGACCAGCTCCACCACTAGTTGTTTTCCATTCTCCATTTCCATTGGCACAGAGGAGGGAGTATGATGAAGATGCCTCAGGTATGTTGGCAAGACAAGCAGGACACTGATGAGGAGAGAAGGTGATAGAGAGGACGTGAGTGGAGAGGAGAGGTAAAGGGCGGGCTGGGCGGGCAGGGCAGGCTCACCCGTCGCCGCCTTTGAGCAGTCCCCACTGACTGCCTCTGTGGATCAGTCTTGGGACCCTGAGCCCTGGTGAAATTGCTCCTCGTGGTACTGAAGTGATCCATTTTCAGAGCCTTTCACTTGGACGTTTCTGGGGAAGACAAGACTTGCAGCAAGCTCTGGGGAGGCTGGATTAGAAGAGGGGAAGAGGATTTAGCGGGCAGGCGACTGAACCTGCTGGGGTAAGCCTGGCCCATTGTTTCTGTGTGAAAAGTACAGAAATGCAGACCCCATTTTTCCTGCTTTTGCTTTCCATATGCTAATTAAATATCATTGAGCACTTCAATACTGTGCTTGGGCGGAAAACCAAGACTGCCTGAACTGAATCCTACAGCGGTAGAGATAAATCCTGCTGGATTCCCAAATCAGAGGAGTGACACTATGGAAATAGAGCGTCAGGAGTTCCATGTTTCCTAAACAGATTGGCTGTTCCCAGTTTTTTAACAAGACTGAGGGGCGTATCCCCACTCTACCACTCACTAGCTGTGTGTGGCCCCGGACAAATTTACCTGACCTTTCTGCAGCTATTTCTTTCATCTGTAAAACAGGATCATGATACTTTCCACAGGGTTGTTCAAGAGGATAAACGGAAGTGTAAGTAAAATGCTTAAGACAATGTCTGACAAGGGTAAGTTCTGACTGCTTATTGTAGGCGTTCACACCCTCCCTCCAGGTCCTGGCACCGGTGGTTGGGGTTTGTGTTTGTGTGCGTTCCTGAGCCTCTCTGTAGCAGAGTCATTTTCTATAACTGCTCAAATTCTAAATCAACTCTTGCTAATTGGCAAGATAGCTTAACCTACGAGACGTTTTAAATGACAAATAGCATTGGACAGA